ACTACTACTACTACTACTACCTACTACTACTACTACCTACTACTACTACCTACTCCTACTACCTCTCTACTCTCTCTCTCTCTCTCTCTCTCTCTCTCTCTCTCTCTCTCTCTCTCTCTCTCTCTCTCTCTCTCTCTCTCTCTCTCTCTCTCTCTCTCTCACATAGTCACAAGCGCGTTGATGTGTACCCAAGCTACACAAGCCAGTGGCAAGGCAAGCATCATTTAAGCTAAAGTTGAAGAGGGCTTTGACAAGACTTGGACACTTGCTCTATTAGGACAAGCTAAGCTTTCCCTCCCTCCCTCCCTCCCTCTCTCTCATTGAAAATAAAAAAAACAACTAAATCAGTTCGGAAGTCCAAGTTCAACACTGGCGTAATCAAAAAAAAAACTCCAAGTTCCATACTGGCTACCTTGTCCCATTTTTTAATGAAGGAGCAATTTGTAGCTCATTCACAAAAAAGAGACAAGCAAGCCATTTCAAAGCTCGAAGTTCCAAACCAGCTACAAGTTCTTTTTTGAGCAAGTGTTCGGTTTGGATGAACAAGTTCCAAACTAGATTATTTATGAAAAAGTCGCTTTAGAGCTTCAAGTTCCAAACTAATCTCACAATGAAAAAAGAAAGATTCCACATGTAACTTGAGTTCTAAAGTGGGGCATCTTGGAAAAAAATAAAAAATATCTAAAAAAGGAGATATGAGCGTAAAATATAAAACATCAATGACTTTTTTTTTATACCACAAAAATATAGGGGATATTTACGAATATTTCCCTTTATAATATTAATTGACTTTTTCTTCAAAAAAAATATTAATTGAATTTTTTTGGCTAGGTAGAACCTTTTCTTTTAATTTAAAAATTAAAGAACAAAACCACGTTTATTCATTGTATAATATGAAAAACCTTAAATTTCTATCACATTGCAAGGTTCTCTAGAAAATACTATCATGCAAAAAACTAAATATCAAAAGAAAGTCAAAAATAGATTTTCAATATTAGAAAATCACCAAAACTAGATCTTTATGATACACCAGTTCTGACAATGACTATAAAAAACTCTCAAATTCAGCCAAAATGAAAAGAATCAAGAACCAAAAAATATTACTACTAAAATGTTTCCCAAAAACTCAAATTTTAATCCACATTTATCTTTTAGTTGGTAACTTTCAAAAAAGATCCCAATTAAAGACAAATAATCAAAAAATACACATACAATGGGGTCGAACTCTTCAACAGAACCACTCTACGCAACTTGGTTTCTACGGCATCGAGCTCGGCGATTAGATCATCGACCTTCCAATCAGGCCTTGGATCAGCCGAGAGCCCATGAGAGCCTTGTGGAACTCTCAATCTCAATTCAAGAAAATTCCTACAACAAAAACAAACAGAATAAACACCGAGCAAAAATCATGAGGCTCCATTAATATACAAAGAACAATGAGAAGATAGAGAATACGAAGAAGGAAACTCGCATATTGCAATGCTGATGAGTAAAAACAATGGAAAAAACAGGTTCATATGGCTAGTTTGATTGATGGAAGTTAAACATTCCCTGGAAACTAGAAGTTCTTCTTTCCTAGGAACTGGAATGTTATCTTTAACTATGTTTGATAACTTGTCTGGAATGTTAAGGAAGTTTTGGGTACCTGAGTTTGATTGACCCTAGAACCTTTGGCCTTTAGAGGGCTGTGAATATGCTAGTTTCAGCCATTCAGTCATTTTCTAGTGATATGAGGCCGTTATGTTATGTATGAAGAAGATTTTTTTTTTTTTTTTTTTTTAAAGTTGTTAACTGATGTATGAAGGAGATATTTAAGACACTCCTAATCTTCAACAAGCCTAACACAATGAATAGCTCAAATCACGTGTATAAGGAGTCTGTTTATGGTATATATATATATATATATATATATTTCACTTTGAGCCATGTGGTCTGTAGTGGGAGACAATTGAGTACAACCTAAGAGCCCGCCATCTATTATTGGTTTTGAAATTTTATATATCTGTTTCAGACTGGTCGGATACTAGGATTGGGCTTGATTTGTTTTCTGATTTATAAGGAATATAAAATAAAATTATATTTTAATTTCTTAACAAGGGTTCAACATCATGGCATGGTGGTTAGGGCGCAAGACTATGGGATTAGGCATCATGCATACCCACCGAGAAAATGGCAAACAAATGAACCAACTTCTTAACTTTAACATGAGCGGAGGAGATAGGAACTAGCAGTCTAGAATTGTTTTCTTGTTGTTTCAACCCAAAATAATGTAGGTAAAAGGCAAAGAAAAATCCATTGTTATTTTGACAACTTCGAGTAGCAGTAACAAAATTCTGGACATCAAGTTAGCTAAACAAGCTAGGAGTTACACTTCCCATGTAATCATTATTTTGATAAATTCGTGTACAATGACAATATTGTGGACCTTGAGTTAGCTCAAATTGAAAGTTACATTTCCTCCCATGATCACTTTGAAGTCATGTGGCTTAAGGGGGGGAAGATTGTCTAATGGGGAAAAATGTGGAAATTTGAGTATGGAATGCAGAGTTATCACTCATCTCTCGATGTCAGTTTTGTAAGACCCGACAGCGTATAGTCGAGTCTTTCTGAGAAGCAGCTCAAGTCCCAACAAAGCAGCACATGCATAATCTTTAGAGGGGTAGGGCAGTCCAAAAGCCTAAGCCTCTCAAACTCATTTCCCAACTGAAACTTTTTCGAAACTCCTTTGAGGATCTTACTGCCGGAATTCTCATTTTCTGCCTTACAATTGTCCTTACAATCAAAAGAATGAAATAAGCAAAGAGGGAATTGTTAGATGTAGACCTTGGCCGTCTAAGAATGAATACATCAGTCATCAACAGTCTCCCTAGAGCACGAAAGGGAAAGGGAACATGTCTTCACTATATAAAAAATAAAACAAAGTCAATCAAGGATAAGTTTTCCATCCCAGTTATTAAAGATATTTGGATGAACTTCATGGAGCGAGACACTTATGGGAAACAGCAAGTAGGTCAACAGCATATAAAGAGGAAGTTCTTTTCCAGGTGTTCAAGAGATAAGGATAGGGTTGTGTGGACATACAAGATAGGTTTGCGAACTGCTTTGCATTTGACCAAATATACAGGGGTTTGGTTTTGGGGGCATAAGCTGTTCTGAAATCATCAAACTAAGGGAGATTGCCCCTTGCGAAGCCTTACCATCTCAAAGAAATTATGCAGCCTGTCTTTTATTTTCCAGACTAAATTTGTCTTACTTCTTATGGAATGATAAAAGGCAATGAGGTTATCTTGTTGATATGCTATCCAAAGCATAAGTCCCAGTTAGTTATTAGCCAAAGCATGATGAATACAATATTTTGTAGAAGTACACATGGAAGATAAATAATCTGTGGTTTGAAGTAAATATGATATAGCTTTTCTTTCTTTTACACACAAATATTTGATATGACAAGAACTGAAGCGAAAAAAATGACCTAATCATACAATAAAAAAAAGAGGACACATGAGCAGTAAGCACAAAGTGGCCATGTACAGTTCATTACTGAAATCAAGTCCCATAAAGGATACATGAAAACGCAGTGCCAATTCACAGAATACCAGAATAACAGAAAGCAAAAAGAAACCCAACACTTGTATTAACTTCTTTCTTTATTCAACGAAACAGTTAACTTTATCAAAAAAAAAAAAAACAGAAAGCAAAAAGAACCAAAGTTCAGAGCAAATTATCAATCCCTGTCGTAACACGCCCTCCTCAATCTTCAATCTCAAAACCCAATTACTCAAAAGGAAAACTAGGAACTCAACTCACAAACCCCACTCACCAAATACAAGAAGAAAGAAATCTAAACTAAATTAGAATCAAATAAATAACCTTCATAAACCCATAAAATAAAAAACCTTCATAAACTCATAAGCAAACCACTCGAATCCATAAAATCCCATCAGATAGAGAGAGAGAGAGAGAGAAGAGAGAGAGAGAGAGAAATATATAGAGAGATAACCTAGATAAACAGAGAACCGATATAACCAACATAAACAGAGAGAGAGAGAGCAGAAAGAACAGGGGGAAGAGAGGAGAACAGATAAGAAAGAGGGAAGAGACTGTAGCGGGAGGAGAGATGAAAGTAGAGAGAGGGAGAGAGCAGAGAGAACAGCGGCGAGGAGAGGAGAGAAGACGAGAGAGAGGAAACATAAAGAGAAGGGGGTCCCAGAGGAGATAGAGAGAGAGGAGAAATGAGAAGGGAGAGCCAGTAGACAGAACGTGGGAAAGAGAGAGAGAAATGAGAGCAGATGAGAGAAAGAGGAGAGATATAAAAGAAGGGGGGAAGGCATACATGGTTCAGCAGCAGCAAAAAAAAATGGAGATTAACAGCTCCGTCGATTAATGGAGGAATTTGGGGTTTTGAAGCTCAAGCTTGAGATTAAAAGCTCTGAACTAATGGTGGGAATTGGAGGCTTTGAGCTCCTGAGTGGCGAAGAAGAAGCTTGAGATTAAAAGCCCGTTGATTAATGGCGGGATTTGCGGTTTTGAAGCTCCTTAGGGTCGAAGAACAAGCTTCGGATTCAGAACAAAACATTGTGCTTCATCATCATCGCGTGCCACCAAATAGGTGTACGGTCTACCCATTGAAGTGTACTACTTCGTAATCCCGTGACTATCGAAAAGGTGCGCTGGTTATCGTTGGATTTATTTTGACGGTGATGGATATGGATAGGGGCACAGGGTATAATGTTGGTAATCTTTAACCAAGCAGGGTAAAACTCAATTTCAAATCTCCATTGGAAAAAGTTTATGTAGGGTTGCAACCATATACTATAAACATATGGTGTACCTTAAAAATCCGTTAGAAGAGTGTGTTTCGACTTTGGAGTTTTCCCTCGAATTGATTATTTCGACCTCGAGATATATAAATACGAAAAAAGAAAAAAATAATTTGAAGTCCAAAAAATAGTACATTTTACAACAAGTTATATGGATTGTCTATTTCAAGATTTTCAAGTATTTATTGATATGTTCGATTTGTATTATTTTAAAATTTTAAATTTCATAACTATTAGTAAAAAATAGATTTTCAAACCATTATAAGGTTTCTACCACATGAACTATATCCTCAAGCAAATTTTCGAGGTGTGTGTTACTTTTACAGTATAAGAAGGGCACCTTATATAAACCCCATCCTTTTTATTTTATATGTTTTTCTATTTAAGTTTTGTCACTAGTTCAGTGTTGTAAACATCATACCATATAATTTTTTATATATATTTTTAATGTAGTTCGATGCTCCAGATATTTGACCGACATATTTGGGTAGTCTGATATTTAAAACAAGAGACAACACAAAACTCTCTTTTTTTTACTACACCGGTCAAATTTCTCCAAATTGAGATACCATATTTGAAATAACAATAAATAAAAACTTAAGTTTTTCTAACATTATAATTCTTTAAATTGATGAAGCATAATACCCACATCTTGTGGGTTTTTTTTATTGGTTGACAAAGCATAATATTCACATCTCTTTCTCTTTTTTTTCTAATGAGGTGATGAAGCTGAAAGGTAGGCAATGTGATAAAGTCAAGTATATATAATTAAAAAGTTTGTTTTATTTTTTCATTTGTACCGGCTAGAACACCTACAGGTGCCCAAAATATAACACATAAAAAACTAAAAAGAAAAAATTATCTATAGACCTTAATTTGGTGTATGATTTTCCCATAGATCTTGAATATTGAAATATTTTTTATGGCATTAAGTTTCTCACTTTCCTATCTTCTAGCCCCATAACAACCTCATATCAGTTAGGAAAAAGTTTACATAAGGTTGCAACCTTATAATGTAGAACTACGGATGCACCTCAAAAATCCATCGGAAAAGGTTATTTTAATGTTGAAAAACCCTATGATTGATCATCTTGACATCGAGATGTATTACTATGAAAAAAAAAAAAATTTGAGTCTAAAAAATAATACATCTTACAACATATTATCTACACCGTCCATTTTCAAGATTTTCATATGTTTATAGATCTACTTGATTTTAACCATTTTTTATATTTAGAATTTTATAATTAAATATAAATATAGATTTTTAGATAGTCTTAAGAAAATATTACATCAAAATTATATATTATGATAAAATTTGCGGGTGTGTCTTAGTTTGTTTAAGGTTACAACTTTATAGAAACCACACCCTAACAATTATCACGCACACCATATTTGTTTAGCATGGCTTTTTATCCTAAACAAAACACACAAGGACATGCAGGCCCCCCTCTCATTTCACTCCTCTTTTTTCTCAGCCTTGCTCTGGGTCTCTCTCGCACCGTGCACCTGCCCCATACCCCCGCTTATGTGTGTGTGTTAACATTATTTATTTTTATTTGAAAAAAAAAAAAATTTGGACTATACTTCAGCATGCCTTTTGTAGTCATGAGGATCGTATTTTTACTCTGGACTACAGTTTTATATAGTTATGAGACTACTTTCTTTTCGTTGTCATATGAATACATATGAGATCTGGTCGTGTTCTTTGTGTTTTCCTTGTGGCTTCGTCTTCATTGCCATGGCATCTTCTTGGAACATATAATTTTATAACCTTATGAAACCTGTAAAATGTGGTGTTCTCATCATCTCTCATGATATTGAATCTTTTTCTTTTTAAAAAAATTATCTTTCTTATAATGTTTTCTAATAGGAAATGCATTTTCTTTCAACCGAAAATACTACCTCATCCAAAGTTACAGCACTTACCTCTCTCACACACTCTCTCATTACATGCTCCTTATTCACTGCAATTTGATGGTGAAGCAGAGATAAAAGAAATATGAGAAATAATATCTATGCATGCTGATTCTGAAAAAAAATTAACATGATACCTTTTTATATCTCTAAGGAATTTTTCTGGATCTTTTCTTATATTATCTATTGATTAACATAATTTTTCTGGATTTTTTTTGTATCATCAATTAATTGATGTAAGTAACTTCATTCTTGTATTTCTTACCCAATGAAAGTCAGACATTATTATCTAATGGAAGATATTTGAAGTGAGAGATATTTGTTATTTTGTCTTTGTGTGGCCATGAGATTGGACTCAATGGACCATTTCATCTGTGATAGTCCATTAAGAGCACCATAATGATAATCTCGGGTCAACTTTGACGAATCATATCTCCATCAGTAATGAGTCGTTTGAGGTGAGGTTTGAGCTGATGGTTAGTCTTTGAGTTCTCTATCTACATGTCAAATTTATGGTAAAAAAGATTCATCTTTATAGAGCAACATTCTGACAAGCTAGAACTTAATTTTGTTTCCAATGGATGCTTATTGGAATTATTGTTTGGAAGACGTATCAATATTTTTTACTGTAGTTTTACGCGAGTCTCTTGAATGTGTAATAGACTCAAAAACAATGAATTTGATATGGCTATGTCCTAAGGGTGTACTCGTTGGGAAGGATTGCACCTTGGATTTTTGCTGAGGTTTGAGTGGTTAACACTTTGATGAAAGTGAGTTCTCTTGTGCCTCCAGATCACGAACCTTGACGTATCCCTAAAATTGTTTTACCAAATTTTGATGTCCATTAACCTCATTGACAACTGCTTCAGTTAGCAGTTCATGGGAGATTTTGCCAAGATTTTGTTATAGGATCATATTAGGGTACACAAACATGTAAGTATTTATTAAATATATTCAATATTTTTTATACTAATTATCCTTACTTTGCAGTGCACATTTTTCGTTAGGTATTTTAATTAATAAATGTACTTCTTTCTATGATGAACTTTTACTTTACCCTTGAATAATTACCTAAAATACCTGACAAAAAAGTTACTACATTATGGGGTAAGAGCATTAAATATAAAAAAATATTGAGTACATTAAGTAAAGGACGCGGTTAGCATGCGGCCAAGCCTGCACATGTATAAAAATGAGATTGGCAATAAATATATTTTTTAAATATAATTTGATCCTAATTTGTAGATAATATATAGTCTTTAACATGGAGATCATGAATATGAAATAAATAAATAAATTTTGAAAAAAATAATAATTATATTAAAAAAACATCTGGATCGCTAGTTACAATTATTTTTTAGACGGACCACCTATTTGCATCCATCTTTAAGTTGGATGTTTTATAGTACAAATGCAGTCCATCCCCCATGAAACAATTGTTCTTAAGTAAATACTTACATGTATGAGTACCTTGATACCGCTGTGAAAACCTTGTCCATCCGGGTTAAAATGGTTACCCAGGTGAGAACCTCATTCACTGCAATGAAGATATAACCGCAATGGAACTTTAAACCACCAATTTATATATGGAAAATAGTTTGATAGGTTTGCAGCCCTATCAAAATAAGTAAAGTCTCAGCTCATAACTCACTGAAAAGTTGCAATTCAAGCATTGGAAAACTTTTACATCAATCATCTTGGCTTGAACATTATGGTTGTGAAAACAACAAGGATTTAAAGCTCTAAAAATAAAAATTATCTAGATAGATAGATTGACAAGATCTATGCCATTTTTTTAGTTTCAAAATTTATTGTCGATATTGGAAATTGATTTTAAATTCATCATGGAATTTTTTTTTTTTGGCTAAGTCAGTGGGGGAGAAGGCCCCCTACCTGTTTTTTCCATTAAACAATAAAATAGAAAATAATATTCACTATTTTACAACCCTACAGTAGGGCAGTTGTACCAAATCATGAAGTAAAGGCACTGAAATAAAATCTGGGGGTCTAGAACGTCAAATAGTAGCACCTGAACTAAATGATGTTTTTTTGACAAATACATCAGCTACCATATTAGTCTCACGAAAAATATGTGAAATTGTCCATGTACGAGTAGAGAATTTACTCTGACAATTAATTGTAATCGTATGTAACCCATGGAGCATGACAATGGTCATGAAGAACATGCACAAGCAGGGATGAATCGCTTTCAACCTGAAGGGGAAAGCACTCCAATTGTATAGCTAGATGAATACCTTCTTCAAGGGCCATAAATTCTGCATAGATTTCAGAAGCAATTCCAAGAGGCTTAACAAAAGCAACAACAAAGGTACCATTACTATATATGATAACACTACTACCACCCCCTGCTCCTGGGTTATGCAAAGATGCTCCATCAATATTAAGCTTGAAATACTAAGCCATAGGGAATGACCACACCATGAGAATAAAGGATTTCAGCTTTTGCTAACGCCAAGTTACTCGAAAATTTTCAATAAACTTTTTTTTTTTTTTTACAAGTGAAAAGCCCATTGTTTTGCTTCCGCTAATTATTGAATATGAGAAGAACCTGCTTAACAATTTGTTCCCTTCTTGTATACTTTGACTGAAAGATTATCCTATTTCGCTCCTCCCATAAGAACTAAATTGTTGAAAAACGATAGAGGTCCAAAAATTAAGAAGACCCTCATATTTAAATTTGTAGACTAGCTAACTTCTCAATGTAAAAGGGACGAAGATACCAAGGTTTAAACACTTACCACACTGCCAAGAAACCGATTTCCCTGTGAAAATCCACTATGAAACAGTTGATGACAGAGGCTA